TCGTCATTACCCCACCGTATGTGATGATGGGTAAGGCACATAATTGAACTAAGATAATAAATAGTGGGACCGACTCGGGTTTATATCCCATCAAAACGAAAAAGTGTGTTAGTCTCTCCCCTGCCAGAAAACCCAGGTCACATGTTATATAGTCGTCCAGCAGTAAAAAATGTTAGTTCAAATTTGGTTACTGAATTCAATGATATTAAACAGAACTTGGGTGCAATACCTAATATTTCTACGCTTATTATTGAAGTCTTGTTCGGAGATGCACCGGAAGATGCCTTCGAAATATTACCAAGTCTATCGATTAAATGGCTAAAGTAACATGAGCATCGATGTTGCAGTATTATTCATATTGGAGCATCACCCGTTGCAACCCTTGCGGGGGTCCAAATTATTAAAAGTGACAGCATTTCTCTTACTAAGATATTCATGCCGTATAATATACATTTAATAAGGTTGATGTATACTCTCAAAACATTTAAGCAAGACCAATTAAAGACTATTATATGATATAATAATATACACTATGGGTTTATATCTGACGCTCGATGAGGCATCTGAAAAGATGGATACTGTTGATGGATTTCGATTACATCAAATAAGCGACATAAAACATCAAATAGATAAGGAGAGGGAGCTGAGACTTGGATTGTATAAAAAGTATCGCAGAGCCATGAATGATCTCGACGGAGTTGACACCGCGCTTGTAACAGCTGGCATGGGACTTGGTGTAACCGGGGTGTCGGTTTATTATCAACTATAATTGCCGCGCCTATCGTACTTGGCATGGAAATTTCTCGTAGGTTGCAAAAGAAAGCATTAAAACATGATAATATTCGGATATTCGCGGAAGCAAAGTTGAACAGTATTGAGGATCATATTTCAACAGCAATGGCTGATTGTAAGATATCCGAGGAGGAGTTTCGTTAAGTGTTGACAGAACTCACCAAATACAACGTAATGAAGCAGGAGATTCGATCAAATTCTCGTAAGACCAGTGGTATTAGCGAAAGACGAGAAAAAAAAGTTCATAGAACAGGGGAGACAACAAGCGCGTCAATTATTCCGTGCCAAAACCAAAGAACTGGTTGGAGATTAAAAATAGATTGCTTACTATCATTAGATCACACCGCATAAAATCATACATTCATTTAGAAGAATGCTTACGTAAATATGTAATCATGGAGAATTACAAACCAACAAAGGAAGAACTCGAAAAAGCTATCGAAAGATTTATGTTCAGGGACAAAATTATCAAATGGAGAGAATTACCACAAGGTATATATTATATCAGTGATGTCAAAACAACCAAATACGGTCATCAATTGTTTCTTTCCAATTACCAAGAAGAGCTTATAGTCTGGTCGCCTAGTAAAATGAACGAAGAACTTAGTAAAAATGTTGAGTATCACTTTGTTAAAAATAATGGTATACGTATGAATAAAAATAATAGAGAATATTTTCATTACAATTTAGTTTAGTCTCATGACGATCGTTGAATCGCATCATCATTTTTGCATATAAAATTCCCCCTGTAGTAGCAGTATAGGTATATAAATCTGGCTCCAGTGGAAGTGAGCCAGAACCCCTATTACCTATACTACTTTCCAGGGTTTCCCCGAACTCTCGATCGGTGTTTACTGCAAGCTCGGAGGTTCACACAGTTTAACCAGCGCTTTTAAATCGTTCACACATCAATGAACTCATCCAAACTGACGTTCATTTCTTAAATAAAAAGAAACAACAATATCGGCTTTGAAACGTACTGCAATCAAAACGAATGTCACTGACCCACTTTTACAAATAGAACGTCATAGAACAAACAAGATGATGTCACTATTCACCGTGACGTCACCTATCCCTATCCTATGACGTCACCTAACAACGGGCGTGATAAAACCGGATAATGCCCGCCCACATGTTGCACATGTTGTAACAGACTTTTGAGGCAGTATAACATTGCTGTACTGCCATGTCCGGCTGTTTCTCCAGAGTCCAGACCTCTCCCAAAGAGAACATGTCTGGGATGAGATGAAACGAAACCTACGACAGGACCAGTAGAAACCGGGAACGCTGTCTCATTTGGGCCAATGTTTGGTTGACATTTAGAAGATCACGCCCAGGGCTGTTTTCAATCACCTGTCTGTCTTCAATGCAGACCACTGTTTCGCCTGCATCAGAGTAAATAGTGGTCACACCCATTATTGATATTGTTAATTGAGTTGTTACACCACCCCTCCTGTATCTGGCATGGGTTTTGTCAATGAATTTGTTAAGTTAAAACACTGATCAGACGAATGACCAAATATTATGTTGTTATTTTCAATAACATTTACACTATATAAGCAAGCACAGTTACTTTTTTGGTGTGTTTATAGTAAAGTGCAAAAGGCTATTTTAAAAGCTTATAAGTTGGTACCCATATGCAAACAATTAGGCAGTTAAAGAAGGGGGGTGGTCATACTTATGTGGAATTTGCTTAAGAAAGAGGGACTTTGTTTGATAGGTGGTGCTTATCAAGGGTTATTGGCCAACATGTTGATCAGTTGATCTTGTTGGAAGATTTTTCAAGCAGTGTGTGCATAGTGAGATCAAGTCTTATTTTGATGAACAGAAGGTGAATCATTTACCCAGGCTGCAATCTTGGCAGATGATTACTCGGGTGGGACATGCTTGCCCTTATCATAAGCACCTGCTGTCATCACTGATTTTCGGTGGTCCATTCATGTAGTTTTGCCTTTTGCGCCCCATGGAGTCGAATGGTCGAAACGGATTGTTCTTGGCCATTGACGTTAATATTTACTCTTAAGGGTTATTTCAGACAGTATAGTTACTCTCCAAGAAATGTTCAGGGTACTTTTCAAGGCAGACAAGTTAGTTAATTCAAGACAGGAAAGGTCAGCTAGATTTGTTCAGATGGGTTCAAATCCTAATAAATCTGAAGATCAATTCCCTAGGAAATCAGATACTCCTGTTGGTCCAAAACAGGACTCAGGTTTGTCATCAGGTGTTAGATGAGGATATTGTCACAAAACAGGTTATTTTATTTAAAAGTGCTGTAAACTCAGCCACAAAATGTCACAAACCTCTCCCCAGGCTTTTGTTAACATGCAAGTCCCAGTCCATTCCTAATGGCAATAACACAGGGGATGAGTATAACACTACCAAAGTCTGCTGCTGCTGGGGAGGAGCACTTGTTAGAGGGCGTCCTGCCATTTTTGGAAGTGACATCTGTTAGTTCCTGTCCTTGCCTTGCTTATAATAAGAGGTTTACGTTTTTGGGTGATCCATGTGTTAGTATTGAGCCAACAAACAAATTCCAGGCATATTTCCTTCATGTGCTTCCATGGTTATCAACATCTCACATCAGACTTCAGATGAGACAAATGGCACTCATGATCTTTCATGAATCATTCTCTTCAGTATACGGGGGCACGGGTGGCCCAGTCGTCTAAGCGCCGCGATTCACTGTGCAGAGTTGCGTCCCTTGGGCACGCCAGAAACCTATGATTGTGGGTTCGAATCCCGGTTCGCCCCGATTATGTTTCTAGGTTTGTCAGCACCATACCCGTGCTCGTGGGTTTCACCGAAGTGGTAAACGTCTGAGACCTGCATCACTTCGGGCTTTCCTCCCACATTAAGCTGACACGCCGCGATATAACTGGAATACTGTTAAAAGCGGCGTTAAACCAAACTCACTCATTCTTCAGTATATCTTTTCTACAAACCAGAGTACTTTTGTTTGAAGCGATACAGCTCATTTTCACTGTTCTGGCCATGTACTCTCTTGGAGTTCATATGTTCACAGGGAGATGATCCTGAAACTCCAGGCACTGGTATATGAGCACTTTCGACCGCATTTGTAGAATATTCAGCACAGGTAATAGGGTTTACATTGTATTAAATCCAGTCCGCCCCTATAAAAAAAACCAAAAAAACTGGTTGTGTCATGTGAATATGACCATAGAATATAATGAGTTTTGTGTTTACAAGTGAGCATGCGAAGTTTTATGAATGAGTGAGAAGGCTCGCCAGCCCTAGGTGTAAACATTCTGAGATGTTAAACAATCTCGATGAGAAGTTAGTTCATCTTATTTCAGAGAAAGAGACAGTTGTCAGATTTAATTCACAAGTTTGTTTGCTGATGCACCTGGTGGTACCGACTTTGTTAGTCACGACATAGATGCTGGTGATGCATGCCTGGAAAGCAGCATTCCTATCCCATGGACCTACTCAAGTTCCGAAAAGAGTCTTCTTCGAACATTGCTAAGTGTGGCATTGAACAAACACTATGAATATGAAATGCTTGGGAAAAGCACACTACTGAGAATGTTCAGTTTTTCAATGTTTACAATTTTTCTTGGATATGTGTAAGAAGTCATGAGTGTCAGTATGATGACAACCGCCTCCGTGGTCTAGTGGTATAGCGTCCGCACGGAGAGTGGAAGGGCCAGGGTTCGATCCGGTACAATAGACTTAAAAGATGGTACTTGTTGTTATCCTGTCAGGTGCTTGGCATTTAGGGGCTAAAAGAAGGACTGGTCGGCTCGGAGTCAGTATACTGTGTCTGAGTTGGGTATTCATGTTAAATGAAATTTCATTCGGTTGAACAGAGTGAATTAGACTGAAATTGATTTCTCTTGAAGGTAAAGCCAGATATAAAGGGAGGTTATTCCACCCGATCCAGGAAATATTACCTACTACTAGCACAGAGTTGTTAGCAACTATGACCTGCTACTAGTAGGTACAAAGACGGTCTCTACGTCTCTGGAGACTAACATTTACTGCTACTACTACCTAACAGTAACAATTAAATAGCATAACCATATTAGGATGTATGTTCACAGGGGCGCATTTCACGCCATATTGGAACATGCAGTGTCCAACACAGCATTCAGCAGATGGTAGGATGTCTGTCATCATTTTGTTGTTGTTTTTTATCTCCGGTCTAGACAGGCTAGACTTAGATTTAATATCTTCATACGGTATATGTATTTTATACATCACCTAATTACAATTTTAACAACCAATTAATAGATAGATCTATAGATATATAGTAATCCGGTCTTAATAGAAGATTTCATTCATACATGCCATTGTATGTGTATTTGTTTGATAGAACTACACATATTTATAAGAACTGATCGTTACAAAATATATTGGCAAACAAGGTTAAAATTTGTCTTCGGAAAAATCGTCCCGACGTGGTCAGAAAGAGTTATCCCCCTTGGCCGGCATAGCGATCGGTTTTCGATCAAACATTTATCGGTTAGATCTTGCTTTTTGTTTATCTGTTCTTACTTGTTCGTTGGTCATAATGTTATCTAGTCTTTGTGCAAACATAATTTACAGTCTACAACCATTCACTATGGTACTTTTTATTTTCAGATACTGAGATGGAGAACGTCAACGTGCCTGCTGACCCTGCACATGACGCATGTTTGTATTCTATGTATGTAGGCCTAGAATGAGTGTAGGACTAACATAGATATATTATCGGGGAAGCATCAAATCTCATCTAGATTATTAGTGTTAATTAACTTGTTTTGCTGAAAGGTCTGTGTTCTGGGTTCAAAGTGAGGTCCATTTCTGGCGTTCGCTCCATTGTGAGATAAGGCCCACGCTCTAATTCACTAGTCTACATGCCCTCTTTTTTGTTTTTTGTTGTTGTTGTTGTTGTTGTTGTTATGATGAACACTGAGGGAATATGTAGACATATGAGATTAATAAAGGATCATAAAGATTATTGTGCATCCGGCAAATTTATAGTAAACTATACATATATCATTGATTACCTCCCTTTGCAACCAATATGTCAAGATATCAGTACCAATTTACACATTTTTTTATTCCCAGGGTATCCAAGTGGGCTGTGTCCTGCCACATTCAGGAAATTTGAGGTGCAACCCTTGTAGGAAATCAGGTATGTTGTATTCTACCCCTATACATGTTGGGAATTACATTAATTTATTTTATTATACTAAGGCTAATTTACTGTTGTATAGATTTAGCACAAGCTAAGCACAGGTGCTGTGAACATTTATCTTTATGCACCCCCATGATAAAGTCAGGGATAACAATAGAGGAATCATCATACATCAAATTAAATCATGGATGTCATGATATGAAATACCACATATGTAGTATTATCGGTACCTCATTATATCAGTCTTTCCTCACTGGATCATCAGCTGACACACTGTGATATTACTGAAACACTGTTCTCAGTTGCATTAAGCCAACTCAACCATTCACTATGCAAACTTACTGACCTGATTATGGCAATTGTGAAAGTATTACTTTCCCTCAGACCTTAGGCCATTTATTAAGTTATGAGGTGTGAGTTGGTATACTGTAATCAAACTACAGGCTATCATGAATACAGGAATATCCAATTTGAAGTCAAATGAGCTTATGTCATGGTGCATTATCTGTCATCTGTCCATAACTAACTTGTACACTTTCAAAACCTCCTCTGAATCTACAAGGCCTATGAAACTGAAATCTCAGCAATGATATTCTAAAACATGAGGCCATTTACAAAATATCACTTTTGCATATTACACAGCCATTTCAGATGTGGCATTATGAAACTTGATATGTGTTATGGGGTTTACATTGGTGTATTTTTTGCTTGATCTGGGAGGAACATCTTAGATATTTACCACTTGATGAGACCCACCAGCGTGGAAATGGTGCCGACAAACCAAGGAAAATAATCATGGTAATTATGGGATTTGAACCCATTGTCATAGATTTCTGGCATATGAAAGGGATGCAGCTTAGTCTCTGAAAATGTAAAATATTGATAGAAACATTTTATATTCATTTTAGTTTAAAGTAGACCCAGTGAGATGGGCTGGGCGGAAGGGAAAGTAATATGGTTCAAGGACTGTGAGACAGACAGGGATGCAACTCTGCCCAGCAAATTGAGGTGGCTTCTTGGATGACTGTATTACCTGTGCCTCTATGGCCTTAAACTTTCACATACCTCGTTTTATGAAGTTTGTTTGTGTTTTCAATATCTTCTCTGAAAATCATATTTTCAATAAGCTGAGATTTTGTGTATTTGATCCCACTAACATGATGCCAATACAACTTCAAGCTGTCAAGACATGGCAACCATATTGAACATATACTTTTCACCCTTTAGAAAGCCACTTCTGCATTTACATTATGAAATTTGATATACAGTAATTATTTGGTAAACCCAACCACAGTGTCATATTTTGCAAGTTTTTCTTATATTTGGAACTGCAACATTTTGTCTTCATGTGCTGCTGCAGCAGTCATGATGAATGTGTTCTTTTGACTCGTTTCATTACCAATTATTATCCCCCACAACATGTTTTGCAGGGGTATTAAAATGGACATGGTCAGTCCTTGCATTCATACTTCTGTGTAAGATTTTGAAAAAACGTTTACTATTTTCTTCACCAATCATGGTACATGGATAGGCCTAGTGGTGACCTGGTGCCTGTTGATAGTTTTGGATTTTTGTAAAATGTATCCATTTAGTTTCCATGGCAACAACTTTGACTGAAATAGGAGGGTAGTGATCGTTCTTGGAACATACCTTAAAAATCTACAATATTTCTTCACCAAACTTGACACACAGATCGGTCTAGGGATGAACTGGTGCCTTTTAATAGTTTAGGATTTTTTTTAAATTAATATTTTGAGATGCCACAACTTTGACTCATACTGAAAATGAGGGTAGTGCTCCTTTCTATGCAGATTAAATTTTTTTTACAATATTTCCTTAACAAGCATGGCACATAGATAGGTCTAGTGTTGAACTGGTGCCTTTTGATAATTTGGGATATTTAGTTTCCATAGCAAGTAGGGGATAATGGTGAATTTGTCTTCTTGCATATACTGTCATCCTTTTAATTGGTCAAGATGCTGTGAGAAAGTCTGTTCTGTAGATAAATAGTTTTGTTTCTTTTGCTTATTTATTATACCCTTGTATTGCCTTTTTGTTGTAATAATATATTCCGTGAAAAAGTACAGGGAAGCTACAGAGCCATTTTAACACCTATACCCAGGGAAGTTTGTTAGAACAGTATTTCTGTCAGTCATGTGAGGGGACAGCCAAAAGGTAATGAAGGGAAAAATTATTACATCAGAGCTCCAGATAAGCAGCGTATTTGTGTAAAATACCCCCCAAAATTATTTAAAACCCAATTACTTTCCATTAACTTGTGTACAGAAACGCATGCATTAAATGAAAAACTCAAATTATTAAAACAGCTCGCGTAAATGCCCAATGAAGCTTTTTCAGCATGCATACAAAGGAGCTAATTTCTGAAACACAATTACAAGCTAATTTACTTTCTCAGTCAAACCTATGTATTTAGAACATTATTTCATTTTTTTGAAATCTTAAAATGTTCACTAATTTTGGGAAAGACCCAAGAGAGTGATGAAACGACGAGTGAAAAAATATTGGTTACCGAATGAAAAATGTAATAACCCAATTAAAATAGAAACCCTAAAGTAAAAACTGAATTGCTCAAAAAGTTATCTGGAGCTCTGTTACATGAGTCAGTTTATGGTACCAATACAATGGGCACATCTGGCCTCCATTAGGTTGAATCTGGTAAACTGTGTCTGTGATTTTTTTGGGTGATGACATTGCAGCCATATTGAATGTTATTTTGACCAGGTACTCATGTATCATGGTGTTATTCATTTAACAGGCTGTAATACTATATTTCAATCTCCAATGTGCTATGTTTCAGTGATCATATGTTCCATTTGGTCATGTCATCATCTTTCACCTTTTTGTGTCCTAATAATGGAATGTACCAGTAAGTGTAATAACCTTGTACCTGCAATATTTCCTATGAATCTTTTTGGAAGTGAAGCTATGATTGGTTATATATGTGTGTTATCATGCACTCCAACAATGGTATAAAATAGATCTACTGTTCTTTTCAGATTTCAGATTCAGATTATCATGCCATGGTCATACCCTTTGCATGCACTCTTGTATCTAGATTACAGGTATACTTACACTGTTTGGATTGTTACGGACATGATCCAAGTAAATCAGTCTCAAAAACGTAGTCACAGAATTTGATTCTTAACATTCCCAAAGGGCAACTACATGGAATGTCAGTTTTGTGTGACGTGGCTGATTTGGTGACATTACACCCCAATTACATGGATAGTTGTTAGTGCTATCAACCTCTTGCCTGCCTGGACCAAGCACCATTATTTTAAGTGGTCATAAACAATTCACTCGTTTTTCCTCATTTGTCAATCATTATTAAATATTCATATCATTTGGTGTATCTGAACATTTGTTACTTATTTCTGCATAATCTTGTTAATCTATTTATGATGACCTTTACCAGTATTTAATTCCCTAAAAATAAATTCTGATCAGTTTCAGGCCCATTCAAACGGTTCGTAGTGAGGCATATTTTTGTTTATCCTAGATAACCTTAGCAATGTTGTCATGAAGAGGTTGATGGATGTTTATTACACTTTTTTAACCTTCATTTGCAAAGGTATTTTTGTAGCTTCCAATTCTGATTTGTTCAACTTTAAGAACTTTCTTCTCAGAAACCAAGGAAACTAAAACTTAATGACACCTGGCATGTGTAGCACCACAATGGGACTCGGATTAAGTTATGTAGTTGTCCCAGTGTTTTATTTTACAATTTGTTCATTCAGTTCTGTGGTGTCATGTGTTGTGTTTATTCTTATGAAGATTTTCATTCTTCGTATACCATGTTCACAGGTTTCACTGTCCAGTTACAAGAAGCCTGGTGTAAATAGCTTGTTTGGTCCAGTTGCACCCAACAAAGGTAACATTGATCGCCTTGAAACGTAGGATTCATGTCTGCATGTCGTTAAACAAACTGGTTGTAATATAGCATAGACTATTTTTCCAGATAAGACAAATATACAAAATAAAACAAAATACTTTTTGAATACAAACAACATGGCCTGCTTGTCTGGTGTTTGTCATCCTGACACAACTATTAGCTCACCAAGGTGAGCTTATGCCATACCGTGGGGTCCGTCGTCCGTATGTCAACGATTTATTCAAAAAACTTCTTCTTTTGACCACAAATTGACAATTAACGAAATTTGACTGGAAGCATCCCTAGGTGGTGAGGATTCAAAATTGTACAAATGGTGGGGCTGACCCCCCAAAGGGCTGGGTGGCGGGGCCAAATGGGGGTAATTTGGCTATATTGCTTTAAACGACTTCTTTATTGGAACTGAGAGATAGATATCAACCATATTTGGTTGGAAGCATTCTCCAATGCTGGGGATTAAAAATTGTACAAATGGAGAGGGCTGACCCCCCAAGGGTCAGGGCCAAATAGGAGTAATTTGGCTATATTGCTTTAAACGACTTCCTCTCTGGAACTAAGAGATAGATATCAACCATATTTGGTTGGAATCAATTCTCCAATGGTGGGGATTCAAATTGGAGAAATGGAGGGGCTGAAATTGCTTCTTGAAAAACAATTAAGAATGAAAATAAAAAAAGAGAAACTACACTCTCCAGGAAGCTGAAACTTAACTTTGTAGAAATGATGATGATCACTTGTAGCTTACACAAAGCGATGGTTCAAATAAGCTTATGTCATGGCTGTGTTCATCTATACTAATGGAAAAAAGTAACTGCTGTGTATTAAGTAGTGTAAATGTTATGTTATTGTAAATTACAACATAATATTTGGTCTTTTGTCTCATCAATGTTTTATCATAACAAATTCCTTGACAAAATCCATTCCAGGTAATTGGAGACGGAGAGACACGCCCCCAAAGAGGGGTGCAACTTGTAGGCGGGCACTATCCTGCTGCAACATGACATTACGTCCCTGCATGTGCACAAAGGCAAGAACATGATCTCAAACGATGTCCTCATAACAATGATGAGTTGTGTTTTCCCATGAGTTGTGATGCCACCCCATACCATTACACTTCCACCCCAAAACTGATGATGATAAGTAATGCAAGAGTTGCTAAAACATTCTGCAGTATGCATGTAGACCTTTGCACGACCATCAGAGCTGTTCAGATGAAACCCTCACTCATTTGTGAACAGTGTACTGTCCCTGTTTTTCTTCTGAACCTCAGATGCTGTCTACACCAAGTGTGACTGATAGTCCTGTGTAAGCAAAATTAGGCATATTGCTGAATGTTGGGACCGGATGTTGTGCTCTCTCAACCGGTAATGTACAGTTCTGCCACTAATTCGTCTTAACCCAAGAATTGTCCGATTATTAATGTGGCAGATGATATTTGTGATTCGATGAACATTAAAAATGTTTGGCAACTTCGTTTTGCGCATTTCGTGTTTGCAACATGTCATCAAGCCGTGACAGCATTATTAATTACAGTTGAACAAAAAGAAAAAAGATTTTATTAGACCCAGAGAGCTAAACAATCATTGTGTGCTGTTTACATTATGAAAACGTGTGTAAATACCTTGCTCCCAACAAACATGCAAACACACAAATTATGCGCAGTCCATAAACATTTGCATGCAAATTGTGAATCACGACCTTAAAACTGAGGAGATGTCTTCATCAATATGCATATTGAAAGATGCATTATTTAATTTCAGATTAAACTTAGTTTTGTTCAATCTCATTAAAATCTGATCTTAGTTCTCGCTACCGCTAACCAAAGATCTGAGGACATCCCATTACGGGTCATGTCGGAACGACCTTTTGCGATCATTGACCGACCAATGAAATGACTGAAATCGACATTTGCCAATCAGAAGGTAGCTATCTCAAGCTTTACTGCACTAGTTTCAAACTGGCGACTACACCTCGAAACATATTTTGACGTATTCTCGATTAAATAAATTTATAACTGACCAAAACAACATTCTAGAATGACTTATAGATGGCCTAAATTGTATGGATATAATCATAAAACCCGTAAATGTCGTTCGGAATACCCTCTGTTAAATATTTCGAGGATGCATGATTAGAAAACACATTTTGACTGTCACTTTCAGGATCTGGTAAGTGATGCTCTGATTGGTTGGATGAAAGGTCATGCTGACGTGACCCATAATGGGATGTCCTCAGATCATGTTTTAGCGGTAGCGAGAACTAAGATCTGATTTTAATGAGATTGAGTTTTGTTGGACTTTTTATTAAGAAAAGTTACCTTTTTCTGCTAGTATGTATGTCGTTAACGATTACACTTTCAACATCTCCTCTAGAGCTACAAAGCCTATGAAGCTGAAACTTGGCTTGAATCATCCCAGCAATGATGTCAGAATTGTGATTTGATGTTAAGCGTGTCGCTATGTAACAGCAGCGTATAAAATTCCCGGAAGGGCAACTTTGCAAATATTCCTGTCCAGATAAAATGCTTCCCATCCAGAATTTTCTACACTAATGAACAAAAGTAACAAAATGGTGAACATAAGAAAAGTACTGTTGATTGTTAGTTCTCAGAAAATAACAATAAACTGATGGATTGTCAACTTAGTTACTTTAACTCATTGAAATTCATCAAATTCCAAGTCTGATTGACTGCCTCTATGGTGTACTGGTAGAGTGTCTGCTCGGAGAGCGGAAGGTCAGAAATTCGATCCCTTGAAGCATCATTCCAAAAGACGTTAAAAGATGGTACTTGTTGTTACCCTGTCTTGCTCTCGGTAGTAAGGGCTAAAAGAAGGAATGGTCCACTCGGAGTCAGTATACTGTGTATAAAATTTGTATGCATGTTTTTGTTGAAGTATATATTTTTTCGAAATTCATGTCTAACTGTATCAGTCATCTCCCTCACAAAATGTTAGAAATTTGGTTGTATTTTAAGAACCTTACACTTACATACTTTGTAAATAACAAAATCAGATCAAATTATCATCTGTTATCACATTTTCCTTCACACGAATATCCAGATACAAATTATGAGTCTGTGTCCAGAAGCCAGAAATCTTTTACCAAAAAATAAATGCATATCAGTTTCTGGATGTGAATTACAAAAAGTACAAATTATCATCAGATATTTTCATTTTTGTTCAAGAAAATATTTGTGGTAATAACACCATCTTAATTTTGTATCCTGGACACATTTAACTGGCTTGAGAAAAATTCCTTGCCAGTTGAGATAACTAAAAATTATAACTTCCCATTAAGTTTTGAATTTAAGTGAGACAACATGATATTAAACTATAATATCTTTACAGGCATTTTTAATGGAACATAACTTGATGTTGCCATGAACCTAAAATAAATGTATGCTATACCCACAAACGGTCAACTGTTTCCTGATTGGCTGATAATAGAATGGGAGGGGCTTGTTTTTCATTATATTGGGTTTAACAATGTCACTGATTTTCTATTGTTGTCTTCCTGTTTTTTTATGTAAGTAATTAAAGAAGGAGTCTATGAAGTTGTTGATATTGACATATTTATTTAAAAGAATTGACTCCAATATACTTTTAAATTAATGTGGGTATAAATGTAAAAATAAGGTGTACTACGTGGATTTATTTATATTGAAGTTAAATCATAAGTTATTTTTCCATGAAAAATGTTCAATCAATGGTGATGACATCACTTATGTGAATATTTTCAACCTTTTCAGGGCAACTACCATGCTGTAATGAAACTTGATGGTATCAGTTTACACCAACGCTAAACTACATATACAGCTCCCAATACAGTGTGCTTTGAGAAGGGAGAGCAACTATGCCCTGTACGTTTCTGGAAAGAAGAAGTGTTGAGAAGAGTTCTGTGTTGAAGTCAGCATTGGCATCCTGAGTAGTGAAAAGATCAGCAGGGAGTAGCATCAGTTCGCTACTGTGTGGAGGGACAGTGTTTCTCCCTATACTCATGGACAGTACTGTACATCTAAACACATGATTCATATTATATATTGTTTCATAATGTGAGGTGTGTTTTTTTCATTCAAAATATCAATTATCATATATGGTGAATTTAGCATCTTACAAATATACTGTGCATGGAATTTCTTCACTTACACTGTTTTCAGCATTTTGAGGCAAAACTCTTTTCATGTGTTACATTTATGTTTATTGTTTCCTCAACAATAAAGAACTAGCAAAATGATGAATTTTGTTTGTAGTTGATTGATTATGACAAGGATAAACAGTATTATGTAGGCATGAATGTGTTCAGGTATTCATCACCGAACGACATGATGTCAAATGGCTGATTGTGTTAATATGCCCAATTGCACAGGTTTTGCTGATCTTGTCAGCCACTGATTTGCCTTGTCCACAATACATTTACCTGCCACCATGCTATAGCTTACATTACAATCCTGGCAATCCATGCTACAGATTATGATTTTACATCCAAACAGATGGTAAGTTAGACAGTACCAAAATAATGATGTCACCATATTATCTCAACGGAAACAAGAATCGCGAGGTGCTTTGGTAATGGTTACTACCCAATATTTGTCCGACAGTGACATAAAGCTGTGTTATTCTTGAATCAGACGCTAATGTCGCTAAATATCAACAGAAACATGAATCACATGGTTCTAGGGTTAGGGTTTCTGCCCAATATATGTCCGACAGTGATGTTAAACTGGGTTATTTCTGATACAGACGCTGATGTTATCATATTTCATGAATCATGAGGTGCTAGGGTTAGGGTTTCTGCCCAATATATGTCCGACGGTGATGTTAAACTGCGTTATTTCTGATACAGACGCTGTTGTTAACGTATTTAACAGAAACACGAATCATGAGGTTCTAGGGTTAGGGTTTCTACCCAATATATGTCCGACAGTGATGTAAAACTGCGTTATTCTTGAATCAGACGCTGATGTTCTCTTATCTCAACAGAAACATGAATGATAAGGTGCTAAGGTTAGGGTTTCTACTCAATATATGTCCGACAGTGATGTAAAACTGCGTTATTCTTGAATCAGACGCTGATGTTCTCGTATCCCAACAGAAACATGAATGATAAGGTGCTAGGGTTAGGGTTTCCACTCAATATATGTCCGACGGTGATGTTAAACTGCGTTATTCTTGAATCAGACGCTGATGTTCTCGTATCCCAACAGAAACATGAATGATAAGGTGCTAGGGTTAGGGTTTCTACTCAATATATGTCTAATTGTGATGTAAAACTGGGTTATTCCTGATACAGACGCTGATGTTCTCGTATCCCAACAGAAACATGAATGATAAGGTGCTAGGGTTAGGGTTTCTACCCAATATATGTCCGACAGTGATGTAAAACTGGATTATTTCTGATACAGACGCTGATGTTCCCGTATCTCAACAGAAACATGAATGATAAGGTGCTAGGGTTAGGGTTTCTACTCAATATATGTCCGACAGTGATGTAAAACTGCGTTATTCTTGAATCAGACGCTGATGTTCTCGTATCCCAACAGAAACATGAATGATAAGGTGCTAGGGTTAGGGTTTCTACTCAATATATGTCTAATTGTGATGTAAAACTGCGTTATTCCTGATACAGACGCTGATGTTCTCGTATCTCAACAGAAACATGAATGATAAGGTGCTAGGGTTAGGGTTTCTACCTAATATATGTCTAATTGTGATGTAAAACTGGGTTATTCCTGATACAGACGCTGATGTTCTCGTATCCCAACAGAAACATGAATGATAAGGTGCTAGGGTTAGGGTTTCTACCCAATATATGTCCGACAGTGATGTAAAACTGGATTATTTCTGATACAAACGCTGATGTTCCCGTATCTCAACAGAAACATGAATGATAAGGTGCTAGGGTTAGGATTTCTACTCAATATATGTCCGACAGTGATGTAAAACTGCGTTATTCTTGAATCAGACGCTGATGTTCTCGTATCTCAACAGAAACATGAATGATAAGGTGCTAGGGTTAGGGTTTCTACTCAATATATGTCCGACAGTGATGTAAAACTGCGTTATTCTTGAATCAGACGCTGATGTTCTCGTATCCCAACAGAAACATGAATGATAAGGTGCTAGGGTTAGGGTTTCTACCTAATATATGTCCGACAGTGATGTAAAACTGCGTTATTCTTGAATCAGACGCTGATGTTCTCGTATCCCAACAGAAACATGAATGATAAGGTGCTAGGGTTAGGGTTTCTACTCAATATATGTCTAATTGTGATGTAAAACTGCGTTATTCCTGATACAGACGCTGATGTTCTCGTATCCCAACAGAAACATGAATGATAAGGTGCTAGGGTTAGGGTTTCTACTCAATATATGTCCGACAGTGATGTAAAACTGCGTTATTCTTGAATCAGACGCTGATGTTCTCGTATCCCAACAGAAACATGAAAGATAAGGTGCTAGGGTTAGGGTTTCTACCTAATATATGTCTAATTGTGATGTAAAACTGCGTTATTCCTGATACAGACGCTGATGTTCTCGTATCCCAACAGAAACATGAATGATAAGGTGCTAGGGTTAGGGTTTCTACTCAATATATGTCCGACAGTGATGTAAAACTGCGTTATTCTTGAATCAGACGCTGATGTTCTCGTATCCCAACAGAAACATGAATGATAAGGTGCTAGGGTTAGGGTTTCTACCTAATATATGTCTAATTGTGATGTAAAACTGCGTTATTCCTGATACAGACGCTGATGTTCTCGTATCCCAATAGAAACATGAATGATAAGGTGCTAGGGTTAGGGTTTCTACCTAATATATGTCTAATTGTGATGTAAAACTGCGTTGTTCCTGATACAGACGCTGATGTTCTCATATCTCAACAGAAACATGAATGATAAGGTGCTAGGGTTAGGGTTTCTACCTAATATATGTCTAATTGTGATGTAAAACTTGGTTATTCCTGATACAGACGCTGATGTTCTCGTATCTCAACAGAAACATGAATGATAAGGTGCTAGGGTTAGGGTTTCTACTCAATATATGTCCGACAGTGATGTAAAACTGCGTTATTCTTGAATCAGACGCTGATGTTCTCGTATCCCAACAGAAACATGAATGATAAGGTGCTAGGGTAAGGGTTTCTACTCAATATATGTCTAATTGTGATGTAAAACTGCATTATTCCTGATACAGACGCTGATGTTCTCGTATCTCAACAGAAACATGAATGATAAGGTGCTAGGGTTAGGGTTTCTACCTAATATATGTCTAATTGTGATGTAAAACTGGATTATTTCTGATACAGACGCTGATGTTCCCGTATCTCAACAGAAACATGAATGATTAGGTGCTAGGGTTAGGATTTCTACTCAATATATGTCCGACAGTGATGTAAAACTGCGTTATTCTTGAATCAGACGCTGATGTTCTCGTATCTCAACAGAAACATGAATGATAAGGTGCCAGGGTTAGGGTTTCTACTCAATATATGTCCGACAGTGATGTAAAACTGCGTTATTCTTGAATCAGACGTTGATGTTCTCGTATCCCAACAGAAACATGAATGATAAGGTGCTAGGGTTAGGGTTTCTACCCAATATATGTCCGACAGTGATGTAAAACTGCGTTATTCTTGAATCAGACGCTGATGTTCTCGTATCCCAACAGAAACATGAAAGATAAGGTGCTAGGGTTAGGGTTTCTACCTAATATATGTCTAATTGTGATGTAAAACTGGGTTATTCCTGATACAGACGCTGATGTTATCGTATCTCAACAGAAACGTGAATCGTGAGGTGCTAGGGTTAGGGTTTCTACCTAATATATGTCTAATTGTGATGTAAAACTGCGTTATTCCTGATACAGACGCTGATGTTCTCGTATCTCAACAGAAACATGAATGATAAGGTGCTAGGGTTAGGGTTTCTACCTAATATATGTCCGACAGTGATGTAAAACTGCGTTATTCTTGAATCAGACGCTGATGTTCTCGTATCCCAACAGAAACATGAATGATAAGGTGCTAGGGTTAGGGTTTCTACTCAATATATGTCCGACAGTGATGTAAAACTGCGTTATTCTTGAATCAGACGCTGATGTTCTCGTATCCCAACAGAAACATGAATGATAAGGTGCTAGGGTTAGGGTTTCTACTCAATATATGTCCGACAGTGATGTAAAACTGCGTTATTCTTGAATCAGACGCTGATGTTCTCGTATCCCAACAGAAACATGAAAGATAAGGTGCTAGGGTTAGGGTTTCTACCTAATATATGTCTAATTGTGATGTAAAACTGGGTTATTCCTGATACAGACGCTGGTGTTATCGTATCTCAACAGAAACGTGAATCGTGAGGTGCTAGGGTTAGGGTTTCTACCTAATATATGTCTAATTGTGATGTAAAACTGCGTTATTCCTGATACAGACGCTGATGTTCTCGTATCCCAACAGAAACATGAATGATAAGGTGCTAGGGTTAGGGTTTCTACTCAATATATGTCTAATTGTGATATAAAAGTGGGTTATTTCTGATACAGACGCTGATGTTATCGTATCTCAACAGAAACATGAATCGTAAGGTGCTTGGGTTTGGGCTTCTTCCCAATGTATGTCCGACAATGATGTAAAACTGGATTATTCTTGAATCAGACGCAGCTGTTACGGAATCTCAAAAGAACAAGAATCGTAAGGTTCTAGGGTTAGTGTTCCTACCCAATATATGTCTAATTGTGATATAAAAGTGGGCCGAAAAGTGACAAGAAACTGCTTTATTAGTCACACAGACCCTACTTATTAATTTCTGCCTTTATGGTACTGCAATTTTGCTGGAGTAGAGTGAGAGAAACTTGGGTGTACAGGTGTCCCAATTGTCATGGTTGATGGAACTTGATGTACTGGTCATGGGTTCAAATCCAGAATATGAACCTTCGTTTCAGCACCACAATACCTCTTGTGGTTGCATAAATTTGTGTCTCACTTTCAAATCACACTGCCACATGTCCATCTGTTCAGCTTAAGGTCACTATTCTCCAAACCAGTGATCAGAATGGATCCTCACATAACCAATCGACACAACTCTGCAGTGTTGAAGCATTTAAGACCATTAGGCCAACTTTTCTCTCAAACAGCATAAAACATCCACACTATGGTGACGACAATCTCATTAAAATCAGACCTTAGTTCTTGCTACTGCTAAACAAAGATCTGAGGACATCCCAGTACGGGTCACGTCAGACCGACCTTGTGCGAACTTTGACCGACCAATAGAATGACCAATCAGAAGGCAGCTTTCTCGTGCTTTACGGCACTAATTTCAAATTGGCGACTACGCTTCGAAAAATATTTGGACAAATTCTCGATTACAAATTTGAAAACTAAACAAAAGAACATTCTGGAGTGGCTAATAGATGGTCTAGATTGTATGGATTCAGTTGTTAAACCTGCAACTATCTTTCCGAATACCCCGTGTTAAAAGTTTTCGAGGTTGTATGATTAGAAATCACATTCTGACTGTCACTTTCATGATCTGGTTAGCGACGCTCTGATCGGTCGAATGAAAAGTCGTTCTGACGTGACTCCTAATGGGATGTCTTCAGGTCTTTGTTTAGTGGTAGCGAGAACTAAGGTCTGATTTTAATGAGATTGTGGTGACGGAAACACAACTAGTATCACATGTATTCCAATACTTTATTCTATTACAGAAATCCATTTTTTTATACTATATATACATCAGTAGTGAAAACAAAAAACTTCTGAATACCATATTTGTGAAACTTATACTTAAAGATGGTGTCAGTTATCTTCAACTTGCTGAATATGAACTTGACAATATTAGTGTTGGAATCAAGAGTGCAGCGTCCAGTTCATGACATCACTTTAAAGCAGATATCTGAAACCACAAAAAAATGAATCAAAAATCTTATCTGGAGCTCTGTTAAAATACTGTAAAATTTGCATTTTATCTCAAACCTCAAATAAAATATTTCAAAATTTCAAATTCACACATTTCTCAGCCCATTATACACTTTATTAACAACAATTAGTGAAAGCACACTTTCAAGATTTATTTTCTGGCATATTGCTCAGCAATGGTGCCCCAAAACTGCTACCCTTTTGTTAATTCCAACCCAATAAGTACATAGAAGGTTGCATGATCAAAAACATAAGAACAAATAGTTGAAGGCAAGTGTTTTAGAAGCACATAGTGTTTCAAATAAAAAATATGACTAAACTTAATCAAATAGATTGCAAACATAAGTCTAGATATATACAATGAACACTTCTCAAGAACATCTGTGCATCCTTACAACAGGACTAACTTGCATAATTTCAGAGCAGATTTGTTAAAATTGCTATTTCAGATGACCTAAAAATGCGTTTGTGGGGGAAGTATTTAAATGTATGGGACCCATGTATTTTACCTGAAGTTTAACCCAATCTGTGGTATTTCATGAAGGGTGTTTTAGCAAGGGATGACTGTATTTATGTTTATGTTGCAGCATTGCAAAAAGAACCAACATCAGATATTTCAAATCCTTATCTTGAACAAATATACAGTTTGGAATCCCAATAAAATTCACATTTCTTGAACTGATTTGCCGCTCTGATAAAGGGTACTTATATATTTTATTATGTGGCTGTTTTCTCAATATCATTTTCATTTTAACACTTAGATCAATTCATAACATTTAATACACTCCTGTGTCACCATTTACAGTGTTGATATTTTCCATTCATCACTCGAATTTACCGGTATATGCATAAAACCAAAAGGACTAAACGAAAATGCAGTAAATGTAGATAAGGGGGCACATGTGAAGTATGTGCAGTTAAAGTAACAGCAGTTAAAAAAATAATACTATGCCCCAAAGTACAATGTAATATAATTTAGCATCGACGACAAATTCAATATGGTTGACATGGTGGCCATATTTAGAATCAAGATATTATCACTGTCATCTTGTTACAATAACAAGCAACTAACCAAGTCACCGAACCTGACCACCCAATCACTTAACTCGTCCCTTATAACAAGGATAGGTTGCAGTGGACCTATTCTAACACAGAATCACCACGATGGACTGATTTTTGTGATTCTTGGATTTCTTGGATTGTCATTAAAGTAAAAGTTTTAAACAACTGAAGGTTGATGCAAGCTAACATTAGCTGACTTCAACACTTGGTACCTGAACACATAACACATCTACAGACTGAATTTGTTTAAAATATATCAACATTGGTCTATGTTTTGTGTCGTTATATTCGCAGCCATGTTATTTTCGACCACCTTAAAGGAAGATAAATTTGAAAGTGACTATTGAACATAACATGTCTTTACACACATGACCATTCTATTTTATGTTGTAATTTAAATTTCATGTCCATTATTCATGTGTTCAATCATTTTCAGATGACTTTTGGACCCCACAGCCCCTCAATACCTGAAAAGTTCATGGTGAATCTCAAACCTGAACTGTGTTCAGATAACAGCAGTTACGTGGGTGATTTCTGACCTGCTGACAGATTATTGTTCAGATCAATATTTGCTTCAACTCAGACACCCACCTTAATGCAGTTATGTTTGCGATTTCGGACCTTCTTGATTTTGACTGATTTTGCTGACTTTTTGCCTAGTTTTACATTTAATGTATATTTTATAAAAATAAAAGTCCACACAAAGGAAACAGTGGATAAATAACACATAACAAGCCATGAGGAATTTATCATCCTTTAATTTTCAAACCCCTGATGAAATTTGGAAGTTTAATCTTACCCAAAATGTTGAAAAACTTACTTTTCCACATAAATTTTTTAACCAGATGTTATTCTTCCACCTTATTTGATTTGCAGATTTCCATGTCAGACAAAGATCAAGCGGTGTCATAGGATTCCTTTTCACTTGATCAGGAGGGATGCTGTTGTGTGCCAACTGAAATAAAAAATACGACGATGATAATCAATGCTACTCCATAGTCATACTGTCATCGGGGCCTTGGTCTATAATTCAGGGTACGATTTCATTCTGTCTTACCACCTGCACCAGGTGCAACAAAGTGAACTAAGCAGGTTGCACCACCAAAATCTTCTGTTATTTTGAATTTTAAATAAATTCAAAGAAAAAAAACCCTTGAGAATGTGCTCCAGAATTTATTTTGAGGTGAATCTGAACATGCCTTTTCATATCATGATATCGAGTAAACAACCTTAAACAGAAGTCTCAAAGTGTCTGTTGTGATTGTAACCTCATGAGTGACTGTTCTAGTGGTAATTGTGAAGAATGAGTCCTGCAAGTTCAATGCATTCAGACCACCTGTGTATTTCACTATTTTCATGAACTTTTGTTTCCTGGATTCGAAAAGACTTGCAGCCAGTTCTAAAAGAATTCAGTTTTCCACTTATGGTTGGAAATGTTACCTGCACTGGGTGCAACCTAACCTCACCTAAAAGTTACCGACACCTGGGCCTACTTGCACAGAACAATCTTAACTACAATCGATCTTAGGCGGCTACAATCAATTTTACAATCACCATACAATTGTCCTATTCCACTTGCACAAACCCATCTTAGTGTGATTGTAAGACGGCTCATCTAAGATTGAAATCTTCAACGGTGGAGGTACAAATATCTTAAACTCGACTCCTGTCTACAGTTGTCTGCAAACGCGCATAGCTTGCTGCGTATACAATAAGTGGAACTGTTCACGACACAACATGTACCTCCCTCCATGGGACCTTGCACAGTTTCAAGAAAGGTGCCAATTATTTGAAGGAAACGATTACTAGAATGATGGCATATATTTTTGTCGGCATTAATAGTGTCATGATTTAGGAATTGTTATCTGTTGCAACTTGAGAAATACCTACTCATGTTTTTTTATCAAAAGTATTGAAATATGAATAAATATATTATTTAGTGACACAATCATTATGAAAATTAAAATAAACAAGTATTTGTCACAAAGTGACGAAATGTCCCCCGCCTGTATATACACCATAGTACCAAATATGAAGACAATCCAGCGATTAGTTCTTGAGATATTGCGGCAACACCGTTTCCAACTCCAAAAGCAGATTTGCCTGCTGTGACCTTGAAAATGGGGTCAAGGTCCTCAAAACCTATGGTGTCTGCGGAGTCTGTATATACACCATAGTTCCAAATATGAAGACAATCCAGTGTTTAGTTCTTGAGATATCGCGGCAACAAACAGGTGGGACGTACGGATGGACGTGAATACTACATCCCCCGCTTCGCACTTTCGCGCGGCGGGGGACAATAATACTAAAAATATTTCCTAATAACATAACAGGGAGAAGCTTTTCGTAAAATCCTAAATATATCCTTCATGCTTTCATTTTGTTGCTGTGACAAAGGATGTTATGAGTACCTTTTCAAAACACAGGAAGACGCAGGATTTCAAGAATGCATGAAAAATAATAATAATGAATAATGTTTTGAGAAAGCAGTTGTTTAATATATATTCACTCTGTATTAATTATATTGATAATTATTTTTAAAAGGTGTAATTTTTACTTTTGCTATTTATGGGATATTTTACACAAATTTCAAATGTCTCATCATGTGTATTTGCTTGTTTAATAAATACTTTTCTTTTCTTTTTAATTCAGATTTTAAAATCCCTTGTCCCCTGCCAACTCGATTTTAGATTTAAACATGTTTGACTTCATCTAATATTTATTTGTAGATTAATTTAATGATGAACTAAAGACAAAATAACTGACACGAATGGGACCGAAAAGAATAACAGGGGGAGCTCAGCGATTCTACAACATTAATACACTGGGCAAGGTAGATTCTACGCTACATGCTTACACAAAGGGAAACCACTCTCATCTAGAGTATAAACTATGATTAGCTGCCCTTGAGTTATTGAAAAGGTCACGGACGTTACTAATTGCTTGCATACAACTTTTTATCCTTCCCTTGATTAGTGAAAAGGTATGTTGTTTCACACTTCTTTCAGCATTGAGTCCGGTGGGTATAGTACTTTTACTTTTAGCTATCGATTCAATAGTTAAGTGGTTCACTATTGCAATTAACGATATTTCTGACGTTAAATCTTAAATTAAAGTGTTGATTTGAATCATAAAGTTAACAAAATAACGAGGCAATATTTGAACATAAGGCAGAATATATATGTGAATTAGATGAGGTCCTGCGCGCCATTTTGTCAAGTTTATTCAGGGACCACAACAATCTTAGCTACTTAAGATTGGTTTGGACCAATTGTAAGTTTCGCTTGTAGCTTACACTGATCATTGCCTACAATCCCTTTGATCAATTGGACAGCGATTGTAGCTGAAGCCTAAGATCGTGATCTTAAGGATTTACAATAATTGAAGTGCTAAGATGGTTCTGTGCAAGTGGACCCAGCAATGTTTTTACCTGCACTGGTGGGGCTTGTATGTAGAGAAATCGATCCCTGTAATTGAATGTGATTATGGCTATTAATGTAGTATTTAAGTAATAGTATAGACAAATACTACAATGACAATGACAGAATTTGCTGCGTATATTTCTTATTTATCAATAAGTCATTAAAGCCTTAATCATGTTAATGATATTTAACATAACCCTAAGGTAATGATTGTTCTCTTCCTGTCAACATTAACAGATTTCTACATTCAACTGTTTATTACTCAAAATTGTGTATCTTGTGTAAGTGAATAGGCAATATAATCAGAAACCTATTATCAGGATGAGTTGGTTTTCAACCACAGAGATCCATGAAAAACGTTTGACAGTGACCATCATACGTAAGGGCAATGTGTTGAATTGGAACCCCTTTGATCACATGGGTCTAATGGTACGCTCTCTGATTGGGTGCTGCCTAACTTCCTTCTTTCTTACATGTCAGTCACTGGATACAATAGATCATATTTGAAGATATTGATGAATTTCAAAACAATTGTCATACACACTGGTATACCATAATGACATTATAGATGGAAATAAATACCTTCTACAGCAATTTAATATCATCTAACAGTTCTGGAATAGCTAAATATGCAAACAAAAGAATCAACATGTTTTTTACACTATAGATGACTTACTGTACAATAACTTACATGTCTGAGTAGTGGAAGAAAACAACATTTTAAACATATCTGCCATGTTTGTCATGCTCAAACTCAAATAAAAAATTTTAATACATTTCTGGTGACTTTATTCCTGGAACCACACAAAAAATGACAGCTTCATAACAATTGTAGGTTATTAAAGAAATGTAAAAATAAAGCATCACTGGATTCAAGGATTACATTAAGGTTAAAGTTCATAAATGTGCAAGTTATTGAAATACACACAACAGAACCTCGTGCAACATTGTCACCATATATTGAATTACATGAGCAGTCTGTGCCCCAAAATGATGGGTCAACTAGCCCGTTGATACTTCATTGTGTTCAGTAGTATACAGTGCAGAGTCTGCTGAGTCCAGTAAAGAGTCAGAATATAATATAGCAGTTGCCTTATTAGTCTATAGCAATTTGTCATCTGCAAATATATTAAAAAATATTGGACATTACTATTTAATTGGATTAGGAATTCCACAGAGATTAGATAAGTACGTAAAACATAATTTTAACAGTATGATTAGAGAATCAAGATGATATTTTTAAGATTAGAAATTGAATTTGTCCCCAGTTTTAAGAGGCTTGGGTAAACCCTGTAGTGACCAGGCTCCATGGTCCAGTGCACAACATTTACAATGTAGGTCTAAACTAAACAGGGGGCCCTAGCACTTGACCTTACATCTTCCACAAACAGCCTGTCAGCTGAAAAGGAACATAGCAGTTTTCTTATAATGTTCAATTCTTCCAATCCAGGTGCAAAGAGTTTTAATATTTATAATATTAATAAAAAAACATATACTTTATGCTGACATCCCTAGCACCGGTTAAAATGATGGTGACTCGCTTGTATTACTTTTCCCATTTCTATTAGATTGGAGACACTTATTTCAGAATATGATGAGCAAACTTGACTCTTGTCAGGTAATATTATCAATACACCAGGTAGGCACCTTGCACAATCATAACTTGAGAAAGACAGAGACGAGTTCAACAAAAAATACCACAACAAGGTAGTGCACATTAGCTCTGTTGTGAGGAAGATACTGATTTTACAACTAAAGTGGACACTTTCTAGCACATTTTACAAACATACATAACCTGAAGATACCATATAATTGTGTTACGACAAAGCATGTGCAGATAGTTGTGGGAACCTTGGTTTGTGTCTCTTACAAACTGATACAAACAGTCTGTATTCATAATAATCAATAAAAATAGCACACTATAATACTAGAGTATAAGATTATTTAAAAAATTGAACTGTATAACTTTGTTTGTTTGTTGTTTAATGCTGTACTAAGCAATATTCGTGCTTTGACAGCTGCCTGTAAATAATCAAATCTGGACCTGACAATCCAGTAATTGACATCATGAGCATCAATCCATGCAAAAGGGATACGATGACATGCATTAACATGGTCTCTGAGCCTGACCCCTCAATCACGTTAGTCGCCTCTTATGACAAGGATAGTCGCCTCTTAAAGCAAGCATGGTTTGCTGAAGACCTATTCTGACCCTGATCTTCACTGGTAAATGTGTATAACTAAACATGCTGAAGTAGTGCCCATGATCATGTGGCACTTGCCACCAAGACAATGACAAGAACTACAGTAACAATATTCCCTCTATTTGGGTACAACACAAATTGTCTAAAACACTGAGAAATATGCACATTTGCTCTTAGTCCTTATTAAAGTGTGCTGGTACTGTACAGACAAATCTTATTTTGGAATGTATCAGAAATAACAGGAAAATGACAAGGACAAATGCAGGCCAGTAGACAAAGTGAAAAGAAAAATATACAATATATAAAACACTGCCAAACAGATCACTATTTAAAAACAACACTATGTCATTTTTTGTATGTACAATGACATTATAATTGGGGATTCAATTATACTTACTAAAACAGGATGTTGCCAGCAGTGTTCACTACGGTTCATGATATGGTATTCTCAGTTCTGTCCATTGCTCATTGGCAGATGTAGTGTCTGCTACTGTCAACAAAAACATTCCAACATTACACCCTACACTAAATTGTATGAGTTAAATGGAGATATATTCATCAATAAAATGGTATTTTGCCTTCAGACACTTAGTTATCAGAGGATTACAGTTAGTTAGATGCTGTAGGCCTAGTCATAATCTTAAAATATGACAACACAATTATTCTGGTATAAATGGATAAATTTGAGTTTGTTGACAGAGGTTGCAAAGAAACAATACAGATGTAGACTGACCAGTGTAATTAACTAACAGTTGGGGAATGTTGATCATGACTGGTTATAAAGTCTATCAATCAGCCTCTCTACTATCAACAAACATTTAGGCCTACAAAACAAACACTTTCACCAGCACTTTGAGAATACCTGGGTCACGTGATGGTGTTTTGGAGCATTTTCAGTTGTTTGGGACTTCAGAGCTTGAATAAATTTTCTGCCTCCGATGCATACTGCTGAAATGTAAACAAAATACGACATATAATAGTATATATATGTAAATACTAATTACTAGTAATTACTACCAGTTGGACTAAAAGAAACGAGCGATTCTGAAAAGGAACGTGACCCAATCGTCTTTGGATGCAAGTGATTCGCGTCAAAACATGGGCGCTTGATACCAGGCAACAACTCCAATACAATATACGATAGGTAGTACTGTAGGACATACTGTTTCGGTAAAGCACTCTTTCTTTTAGAATAAACGGCATTTATGATGCGTGACCTTGCTTGTGCACGTCGACGTTGTTTCTAGGGACGCAAGGCTACCTGTAGAAAACACGCACGACATTACGTTCCCACTTGTGGCAATGGTAGGAATATTGAAGAGTTATGAAAACACCCACGTTTGTTGTGCTCTATTTAGAGAAAAGACACAATTAACTAGCCTAAACTTGGCCTAGGTTGAGTGGAACAAATGACGTGACCTTACACAAAATGGCGGCGGATGATGATGCATGACGAGGTCATGTGACCAGCTGGTGATGTAATTATCAACGGTTACCGTATAATTTTCTTCATGATAATGTAGATTCTATTTGTAATTTCAGGTGACTGGGAACATACTGGAATGGTGGTTGAAAGGTTCGCATGGCGCATTTCACCATTACGAAGCTACTTCTACAACTAGAAAGCTAGCTGGTTACAGGCTGAAGTTGCTCTGCGGTAATCTATTTATTTTTCTGTTGAGACAGAGCCTGGCTTGCATACCGTCGACGTAGACTCGTTGACCAATGAAAATCATTTTAGACATGCTCTTTTGCCGTTAGGTAGTAGTAGCAGTAAATGTTAGTCTCCAGAGACGTAGAGACCGTCTTTGTACCTACTAGTAGCAGGTCATAGTTGCTAACAACTCTGTGCTAGTAGTAGGTAATATTTCCTGGATCGGGTGGTTATTCACGGTAGAGGGCGCAACCGTGTTGGGTATATACAGGAATTGTAAAGCCCGGGTAGTTCAATCTCTCCTGTGGTGTCGCCGTTACAGTTCGGTCTGTTTATATCGTTATTAACTTTGCCACGTGTTCTATCGCCATTTTGTTATGGAGCTATCTGAAGATATTAACAAGAAACTTGATAATATCAGCAGTTATCTACATGTCGAGAAGAAGTTGACGGGTCTGTTAATTAACAAGATAACGTGGCTCGAACAGCGGCTGATATTCAGAAACTCAAAACTGAAAAAGATTTCGTATGGAAACGGGAAGGGCACCGCCTTCAGTATAATTATCCCCCGCCCAAACGAAGTTGGCGGGGGATATAGAAATGGGTTCCGTCCGTGTGTGTGTGTGTGTGTGTGTGTGTGTGCGCGTGTGTGCGTGTGTGTGCGCGCGCGCGTGTGTGTGTGTGTGCGCGCGTGTGTGTGTGCGTCCCGAAATCGTTTCCGGAGCATAACTCAGAAACCGTTCAATATTTCTCTACGAAACTTTGCATGTCTATCAGACTCATGCTGAACTGGTGCCTTCTGCTATTTAGGAATTTTATAAATTTATATTTTTTACGTTTCCATGGCAACAAGTTGGACTTAGGTTCTATAAGGGTGGTGTTCGTTTCCGGAGCGTAACTCAAAAACCGTTAAATAATTTCTTACAAAACTTTGCATGTTTACCAGACACATACTGAACTGGTGCCTTTTGCTATTTAGGAGTTTTATAAATTTTTATGTTTTACGTTTCCATGGCAACAAGTTGGACTTGGTTCTATAAGGGTGGTGTTCGTTTCCGGAGCATTATTCAAAAACTGTTAAATCCTTTCTTACAAAACTTTGCATGTCTACTAGGCACATACTGAACTGGTGCCTTTTGCTATTTAGGAATTTTATAAATTTTTATTTTTTACGTTTCCATTGCAAACAAGTTGGTCTTAGGTTCTATAGGGTAGAGTTTGTTTCCGGAGCATAACTCAAAACCCATTTAATACTTTCCAACAAAAACTGTGCATGTTTACCAGACACATACTGGACTGGTGCCTCTTGCTATTTAGGAATGTTAGAAATTTTTATTTTTCACGTTTCCATGGCAATAAGTTGGACTTTCCAGAGTGTAACTAAAAAAACGTTAAATACTTTCTTACAAAACTTTGCATGTCTACCAGGCACATACTGAACTGGTGCCTTTTGATATATAGCACTTTTAGAAAATTGTATTGTTTATGATTCCATGACAACAAGTTGGATTTAAGTTTTAATATAGGATTGGTTTACTTAAGTAGTATAACAAATAAACTGTTAAATATTTCCTTGCCAAACATTGCATGTCTATATGTAAAGCGCATACTGAACTAGTGCCATTTGATATTAAGGAGTTTTAGAAATGTTTATTTTAGAATTTCCATTGCAGCTTTTTTGACATGGGCTAAGAGAAATGTAGGGTCAGTTACCTGGTTTGGGACCATAACGTGTTAAAATGGGCGGGGGATATAGATGACTTTGTCAACTATACGCTTGTTTCAATTCAGAGACCCTTGAAAATCTGAAACAAATTAAATTTGCTATTTCTTACTAAAAATTGGACTATTTGCAAGATTTACTGTGCGCGGAGGTTTCGCGCATTGAGCGTAGGAATAAACTGATTAAGCTTGCCGACTCATCAGATGGAGGTGGGAGACTGTTCGCCAATATGACTGTAATGATCTTGCTGATGATTCTGGCGATGATCGGCGTATTTCCAGAGCGGAATCCAGAGCTATCCAGAAACTTGACAAAAAGAAATCAAAATCGTCAAGATATGCCCCATTTAAGTTTTCTAGACCGACAGCGACTGTCACGCAGGCTACAGTTGGGGGCAGGGCTTATCCAGTGGGACCATCTCAAGGACGTTCATTTCGCCCGAGACTTAGAAACGGCACGTGTTTTGCGTGCGGAGAACTCAGCCACTGGAGACGAGACTGTCCGTATGTCAACTCAACAGTCACGCCGACACGTCGACCGGGAAGCAAGACCACAGTCTCAGAGTAAACAAGGTACAGTTGAACTTACAAACGATTATTATGAATATGAGCGTGGAAATGCTGAAATCTTAGTGAGGGGTCGTCTAAGACGCTGCATACAGTTTTGGCGTGACATTGGTTCTACTCAATGTGTGATTGATGTTATTGTAAGTGGATACAAGATACCATTTTATTCTACTCCGACACCTATGGAATTAAAAAACAACATGTCGGCGTTGCGGCATTCTGATTTTGTTTGTGAAGCTATTACAGATCTTGTGCGGAAAAATTTAGTGGAGGAATGTGAGGAGAGGCCTCGTGTTGTTAATCCGTTGTCTGTGTCTATTGCTTCTTCTGGAAAGAAAAGATTAATTCTTGATTTGTCCGTGGTGAACAAGCATGTGTTTAAACTTTCAGTCAAATACGAAGACTGGAAAACTGCTCTTATGTATATCAAAGCTGGTGATTGGTTAGTTAAATACGATATACATTCCGCGTACCATCATATTGAAATGCATACTCCTCATACAACTTTTCTCGGCTTTTCATGGATTTGGCCATGGGGCAGGAGGTATTACAAGTTTGTGGTTTTACCATTTGGTTTGTCATCTGCGCCCTATGTCTTTACAAAGGTAACTCGACAATTGGTAAAATGGTGGCGTTACCTCGGTTACAAGAACGTTATGTTTCTTGATGATGGAATTATTGTTGAAAATTCTATGTCAACTTGTGCTGTTGTATCAGATAGGGTTAAGGATGACCTCATCAGTTCTCGATTTGAGCCTAAAGTTGAAAAGTCTTTATGGACGCCTTCACAAAGTTTGGAATGGCTAGGATTTCACGTGAACACTTTACATTTTACTTTAGCTATACCGGAAAGGAAGTTGGAGAAGCTTTTCATTTGCATCACATCTCTCTTAGTCCCTAACGCTAGGTCTGTGTATGTTCGTGATGTATCTTCACTATTTGGTCAAATTATTGCTATGAAACCAGTTGTTGGTTCACTTAGTCAACTTATGACGAGGTCACTCAGTATAGATTGTCTGACGGCTAACTCGTGGAATGACTGGATTGTTTTATCAGGTCAAAGTAAGGATCAGTTAGTGTTTTGGCGGGACAATATTCAACATTTCAAGTCACGATCGTTGTGTTCAGACAGTTCCCCTACCAGGGTTGTTTATAGCGATGCAAGTGGTGTAGGTTACGGTGGCTATTGTGTTCAGTTTGGTGGAAGGTTTGCACATGGTCAGTGGTCCGAAAGCGAAATGAATCAAGTTTTCTGTCTTTTCTTGGTTCTCACTCAGTCAAGTGGTTTACGGATAATAACAATGTATGTGCTATTATTAAAAAGCGTAGCATGAAGACACATTTACAAAATCTTGCTTTGGTTATCTGGCAGTTGTGTTTGAGATCCTGTATACGTTTGGAAGTAGACTGGATTCCCGAGAACAAAATGATCAAGCCGATTTTCTGAGCAAGCTCACTGATAGAGATGACTGGGCAGTTGCAGACTATGTTTTTCATGAACTTGATGAAACATGGGGACCACATTCAATAGATCTTTTTGCTTCTTACTACAACAACAAGATAAACCGTTTCGATTCTAGGTACTGGAACCCTAATTCTGAGAATGTGGATACTTTTTCTTCAGATTGGAGTAACGAGGTGAACTGGATAGTACCACCAGTGTATCTGGTCTCTCGTGTGTTGTGCCATATGCGCAAATACAGAGCAAAGGGTACGTTGGTTGTACCTCAGTGGTACTCGGCAAGTTTCTGGCATTTGCTATGCAAACAAGGTACATTTTTCAAAGAAGTAAGAGACTTTGTTTATTTGCCGTCTTGCAAAGAAGCTTATGTTCCCAGTCGTATTGGGGGAGGTTTATTTGGTGAAACAGATTTAAAATTTTCAATGTTAGCGTTGAAAATCGATTTTGGTTATTGAAATGCTTTCTTCTGTTTCAGATGTGTTAGACAGTGTATATCATGATGTTATATCTACCCTCCCAGAAAGTTTAAAACCGAACGTACAAGGTTTGAGCATATTATTAAATGAGGCTAGATCTGCCTCTACAGTGAGATCATACAACTTGGGATTCAAGAGATTTTCTGATTGGGCAGATTTCTCTTGAAGGTAAAGCCAGATATAAAGGGAGGTTATTCACGGTAGAGGGCGCACCGTGTGGGGTATATATAGGAATTGTAAAGCCCGGGTAGTTCAATCTCTCCTGTGGTGTCGCCGTTACAGTGCGGTCTGTTTATTTTATGTTTGTCCTGTGCGTTATGGTTATGAACATTTTCTGTTGTCAGGTGTTGGCAGTCTTGCTGCAAGACAAATGTCGTCACAGTGACGAGTATGGTTCTGAACCACAAAGCATGGATGGTACCTGGTACATGCATGTATCTTACAGTAAGATGTTACAGTGTCGGTGACTGGCGTGGTTCTGAGATCATATGGATC